CTCCGTGGTCTGGTTCCATTTACGTGAAGTCCAGAGAGGCTGCAGGGGCTGGGGGAGGAGGGCCGCTGGGGGTGGGGGGTGCGGACCCCTCAGGGCTTCCTTGTGGGGTGATGAAATTATTTGGAAGTGGACAGTGGGCTGGTTGCTCAACAGTGAGAATGTGCTTAATGACACTGTTCATTTCAAAATGGTTCATTTTATGTTATGTGAAATTCACCTCAATTAAAAAAATATTTTTAAGATTCAGAATTCAAAGACGACGGACATTGCAAGCCCCCAGTTGGTGGCGGTCCAGCCCTGTGGTCACTGTCCTTCAGCCCCTTCCTTCCTGCCACGCTGGCCGCCCATCGAAGGACATTTTCCTGTCGTCTCTAAGCGTGCGCGGTGACGTCCTTGTCGCTGGATGTCCCTGCCATCTGTAGGAAGTGCACGTGCTCTGAGCGGCCCCCTGTCTGCTTTAGCACGGACCTGACCTCTGAGCCCCAGGAGGGGAAGGAGCACGGAGCTGCAATCGGGAACACCCCTTCTTCTAGTGTGGGACTAGTCACACGGCCTCTTGGTCGGCTTCGTCCAGAAAAGACGCCGGCCATGGTCCAGGAGGTGGCTGGCCAGGGCGGATTTCCCGGTTGCTGTTGTAACATCACCTCCGTGACCCTTCAGGGTGAATAAAGACCCAGATATGGCTGAGGGTCTCTGGGACTTTGGGTCCCCAGCCAAGGGAGAGGACGCTGGGTTATGGAGAACAAGCCCTGACGATTTGGTCTTCGTGGGAGCTGAGCGTTTGGTCCCTGGGGGAGCACGTCAGTGAGGTCCTACAGATCAACACCAGAGCTCTCCCGCAGCGGCGGCTGGGCTGGGGGTTCGCAGAGACCGGCCGATGCAGGTGGGGAGGAGGGAGGAGCGCTGTGCTTCGTGAGGACCACAGACTCCAACAGCCAGCGGGCCTGTGTGTTGGGGTGGGGTGGATGTGTGTGCCGCGGCCACTCCCTCATCCACAGACATTTAAGAATCCATACTGCAGAGGAGAGCGTGGATGAGCCCCACGTCTTAAATGAACTATTTTGGGAATTTCTAAACAGCTCCAGAACAACAGACTCGACATTGATTTATGGCCTAATTGTTTATGAGAAATAGAATTCAGATAGGCCGGGCCAGCCCCCTCCCCAGCCGCGCTTGGCCGCAGACCGCGTCTCTGGCGCCATCTGCTGTTCATCCGTGCCCGCGCCTCCCCCGCTGGCGGGAGGGAGGACCCCAGCCGGGAATACAGCACAGTTAGATCTAGTCAGACACCCCGGGGGTCAACTTCCAAGGGATCCCAGACCAGAAACACGGATGCCAGCATCCAAGGGGCGAGATGTCTCTGAGTACGGCTAAGCCACTTGGGCTTGGGGATCGCCTTCCTGCCTCCTCGTGGCCAGCGCTGACAGGCTACCGCGTGCCCGGCGTCTAAAGCGTGTTGCTCCTTTCTCCCACCTGCCCCAGAAGCCAGGTGCCACCCCAACTGTGCAAATGGGGAAACCGAGGCAACCTGGCTAAGTCACTCGCCCAGCATCTGGTGGTGGGAGACAACCAGGAGCCTGAGCCCGGCCTCCCCGCTGCTGCACCTGCTGACAGCGCCCCCGCCCCGCCCCCCGGGAGCCAGTCCGCCCAGGACCACAAGGTCAGTTCTGCAGTAACATTCCAGGCAAATCAGGGCTTAAAGTGCTGAGCTTTCTTGGCATCCCACGTACTGATTTCACTGAGGAAGTAACAGCGCGTATTCACTCTATCACCTGGTACCTGGCCAAGTGTGGCTTTGGAGGACGGTGCACAAAGTCTGCGAGGTACTCTCCTGTCTAGTAAACAGGGGCGCTGGGAGCGAGCCAGACCCCTTTGCGTTATAAAGTTGGGTTGTCCGCTCTCATCTACTAAAAGCCCGATCTCCACAGACCCACAGAGTCACAACGCTTGGCCGTCCAGACTAGACATTCCAAATGCCGTACACACTCCAGTGGGTGCCCCTCACTTGTCCCGGGGAACAGGACTGCTTTCTAGAGCTTTACAAAAATATTCAGCCATATTGTTTCCAGAATGGTTATTGATACTTTGTCTAGATATTTTTGATATTTTCTTTCAAGTTAACAAAGCACAAACATAGTTGCCCCTGTTCATTTATTTTCCACAAACAAGTCTGAGGAGCTTCCTCTTCGTGGAATACACCTGGAGTCCCATCCGTTTGTGTGAAGTGCTTCATACCCTCGTCACTTTAGTTTTTCCCTGGGGAGCCGGCTGTGATGCTATTGAATTCATGCTAGATGCATTTTGACAAGAACGCAGTCACGGGGATGTAACGGGAAGAGGGAGGACAGGCCTGACTCCTCTAGCGATGGAAACCCGAGGCAGCGTCCTCCCAGCCCACCCCCCTCCCCTCCACCTGTCCTCTGTCTCCTTCCCCACCTGTCATAATCACAGGTGCTCCCAGGGAGGAAAGTGGGACCTGCAGGGAAGTCCTCTCTGCTCATCCAGGAGTGGAATGGAGTAGGGAGGATGGGGGTCAGCACTGTAGGTCTTGAAAGACCCCCTGCTCCCCGCCCCCCACGTTTGGCTCAGGAGCTGAGCCTGGCAGCTGACCATGAAGTCCAGGGAATGGAGAACTGTTAGGAGGCAGCAGAGATGTGAAGGGGTCTGCGGGGTCACGTGGCTGCCAGATGGTTGGTGGACCAGCATTTCACTTCTGTTGAGCCTGATGCCCCCGCTTACTTCACTGACTCCTATTGGCAAAGTGGGGGTTCCAGAGAATGAAGGGGAAAGAAACTCATCACTGTGAATGAGAGAATATGCATATTCAGCATCTCGAGTTTTCAGGGAGAGCCCCCAAGTATTGAACACCCTGTACTCTCAGCCTCAGGGGCTTCAAGACAGCCTGGGTGTGGGCACCGCCCCCGAGAAGGTGACCAGTTGGTGGGTTGGTCATGAGGTTGGATCAGACAATGGATGAATGCGTGATTCTATGGCACTTTGGGGACTTTATCTGTAAACACATCATTGACTTTGCATTAGGCCTCACACTCGTTTTCAAGTTACAGAAACCACATCAAACTGGCGCAAGCAAGATGGGCAGTTTATCAGCCCCTATGGTTGAAAAAGATATGGCTTCTGGTGGGTTTGAACGCAAAGGTCCTAACACCGCTTCCCCTCCATGCCCAGGCAGGCACGTTTCCTAGGTGCACCAAGCACAAACTCCAGACTCAGAGCGTCTGCAAAGCTGGCCACCAGGACAGACTGGGCCGGTGGCTCTCCTGGAGCCCTGGGCAGGCCTCACCTGTTGTGGGGTGCATGCCCATCTCGGAGCAGACACTGTGCCCGGAGAGCGACCAGGCCCTTGTCACGGCCCTGCCCATGGTGATGGGTGATCATGGCAGGGTCATGCTCTCCTGGGCTTCACAGGATTCATTCCCCGTAGAAGGAAAGGTACTTTCACCATGAAGGAAGACAGGCTGCTGAGGAGGAGACCCACAGTGTTTGCCACACACGCCCTTTGCAGCCCCAGCTGCCGTACAAGCTGCACAAACAGGTCACAGAACATGTGTGTGCGCTATTTAATACCGTCCAGCTGGGGGACAAGAGACGGGGACTAAGGGACAGGAGAGCGAGGATGCTCAAGCCTGACCGCACGTTAGCATCACCTCGTAAGCACGGGCAGCCCTAATGTGCCAGGATTCTGTCCTGCACTCCTGATTGATTTCGTCTTGGGGTGTGCTAAGCTCCAGGTGTCTCGGGGCACCTGGGTGGTACAGTCCCTCAAGCGACTGACTCATGATTTCGGCTCAGGTCGTGACCTCAGGGTCGTGGGATCGAGCCCCGCGTCGGGCTCTACGCTGGGTTTGGCGTCTGCTTGAGATTCCCTCTGCCCTCCCCACTCTCTCTCTCTCTCTGTCTCTAACATAAATAAATAAATAAAATCTTTTTTTAAAAAAAGCTTCAGATGTTTCTAATGTGCACCAAACATGGAGAGTCAGGGATGTGAAGAAATTAAGGATATTGAAGATACGCCGGCCTTTACCAGTTCTGTGGGAAGACGGTGATGGTGTAGGCTGAAGTTGAGGAAAACCTTACCCACCAATGCAGAATTCTCTTGCAGCGGGATCTCTGGGCCTTTCTGTGGTCCGTGACGTGGGCGCACGTCCCCGCGTGGTCATGAGCCACGATTGCTAGCGAGGGGTGCAAGAGATTCCTTTAAAGTTTGGTTTCTTTCCATCTCTTATTTTGCAGTAAGTATGAGCCAAGGAGCAGGGAACAGAAGGGAGGTGAGGGAATAAAACAGAAAAGGGAAACTGAGCCCTGCAGTTTGGGGAGTGCAGAAACAAGACCAGCCTTGCTTTCTATTCCCAAATTCCTAAAAGCACATTGCTAAGTAAACTCTTCAGGCTACTCAGGGTCTTACTGTAGCCCGAGAGCGGCTTGGGGAGAGGCGGGGATGCTGGAAGCATGTTTCTGGCTTGAACCCCACGATGGAAGCAGGCCAGGCTGTTACGAGCTGTGTGCATGGACCCCAGACCCTCGTGGTCCTATAGCCAGAATGATTGCCTCCCAGGGAACCAGGAGCCGACAAGTCGCCTTAGGACGTCTGTCCGGTTCCGTTAGTGATAGCCCCTGCTAATTAAATACGTGTCTGGACGTGAGACGAGTGACTTTTTGTTTTTGTTTTTTTCTGTGTTTTTCTTTTTTTGGCTTTTTTTGGGGTTGAGTTTTGAGGTTGGTAATGGGAACATCATCACTTCCTTTGGCTGAATTGTAAAAGTTGCACAAAAGTTTGCAAGTTCCCTTCTTCTGCTGTTTACTTCAAGCCTTCCTGAAAGCTCGAGAAACTCCCCCAATTCTTTAGAACCATGTGGAAATTAATGTTTAGAAGCAAAAAACGCCCAGGCTTGGTGAGTGTCTACTTGCACTCACCAGCACAGCTGTTCGCCGTAAATGCCATCCTGTGACTTACAGGACTTTTTCTTCCCTTTCTGCTTCAGCAGGGCAAATGGGACTCGGCCTTGCCTGAGACAAAGTCAGCTGCGTCCGTGGAGGTAAGACCTGTTCGAGTTGGCTTGTGTTTCTCCTGAGAATATGAGTTCCAGGTTTAAAAGAGTGTTGAGCGCGAAGTGTTCTTTCAGTTTCTTGCGTTACCTGACCCTGCTCAGTCCAGCGGAGCCGGCCGTGGTGTGCTCTTAGAGGGGGGATCCCGCACAGTGAAGTTTCCATTATCTGACGTTCCGGGTTTAGTGATGAAACGCCTGGACTGGTGCAATAACGTCTTTGTGCAGCAGGGGTCTGCCTTGTGTGCGTAGGTGGGACAGTCTCCTGCTTTCTCTGAAGACGGTGGGTTCTGTTCTGAATCTGTGGGTCGCTGGGGTCATCATATATATGATTCCATGTGCATTATTCCTTTTCAAACTCTACCATGTGCCTTCAAAATAAGCCGGGAGTCACAACAACAAGGGAGCCCTCAGAACGAGGTGACGCTGGGGTGGGAGGCTGGCCCCATGCTGGGTCTGCCGGGAGCTGTGGGACTGTACTGACTGCATGTGGAGGTCAAGTCCTCATCAGAAGCTTGTCTAGGAATTAGGCCTAAAATGGGTCATTTTAGATGAAGGTAGATTTCCTGCAGTATTTCAAGCAGCTATGTGGTTTGAATAGTAACATCGTAAATAAGAAGTTTGGTAAAGTGGTTTTATGGGTGTTTTACTTTTCCTGACTCCCTGGAAACCGCTACGTGTCCAGGCAAAGCCATGACATCCGTATTCATCGGGGCGAATATTCCCAGCGGGCAAGGCGGGAGAAGACGCTTCCGCGAGTGGTCAGTCTCGCGTTTGAGTGAACGAGCTCAGCACTGAGCTCCCCTGTTGCGCTTTTAGCATACTTACGGTATGTCTGCATCCAGTAGATTTTTATAAGTAGCTTAACGCAAAGAACTTGGTCGAAGAAAAGGTTCTCTGTACCATTATGTTTTGTGAATTATATCTTATTAGACATAAACATCATGTCAGTGGAACTGAAGGTCGGTGATGATGATTTATGGTCTGTGACATCTCAGCGTGGTTCTGGTTACTTTGGTTAAGTGATTAGACAGGTGTCTGAAGAGTCGTTTGCTTTGCAGCCTCGTGTAAAAGACACTCAGAAACAAGGCATGTCGTGGTGGGCGGGAATGGCCCTTCTCCTCTCATAACATCTTTGCAGTCTAGTTTATAACCTGTTCAAGAAAAAAACAGGTCAGCTCTCGTTGGTGATTCTTATCAGAGCTTTATCTGGCTCTCTGTGGTGAGGTCCGTGAGGAGCTGCGTCTCACGGAGAGAGAAAAAGTCCCGTTATTCTGCCTGTTGTCACACTCCACACTTGGACTGGCCCTGGAGAGCAAGAATGAAGATTCCATACTGCATGTAGTTCTCTTCTTTTGGCCAGAGAAACCGACGTAGGCAGATTGACAAGAACGTAGCTGGTGGGTGATGGAAGCCATGCGGGTGGGTGTCACGCATGCATCGTTCCCAGTAACCAGCCCTCCATGCATGTTGCAGTAAGAGCCACGGTCAGAGTTGGGAACATTTCTGAGAAGGACCATAGTGTGCTTGCGGCTCACATCTAGCTCAAGGCTCTGAGAGGGCCCTGGGAGCCCTGCTGCTGCGCCCGCGGCCAGCCTGACCCCCCTAGGGCTTGGCCACGTTTTCAGATTCAGGATAAACACACACCGATCCGAGCTCACGCAGCATCACCAGGGAGCACGCTGGAAGTCTGAGCAGGGTGATGAGATCTTTGAGTTAGGAGTTGACCTTTGGGTCTGCTCTCCTCTTCCTCTGCAAAAGTTTGCATTCGACAGGTAGTTCGACCACAGGAGGCTCCTGGGGTCTCCTGTTTCAAATCCTAACGTAGATCCGGCTGTGGGGCTGCAAGCAGATGCTACCACAGCTCTGGGGAGAGACACTACCGTGTTTTCGCAGGCGTGTCCTGGACGTGCTGATCCGGCAGACGCAGCAGGGGGCCGACTTCCGTGTGTTTTACCTGCTCAACCCGCAAGTCGTCTCCAGTTTAACAACTCTTGGTGTTTCCCCTTTCTCTATTATGGCTTCACTCTTTATGTATTTGATTTTATAAAAGGAAATGTTCAAAGGAGACAAAGGAGGTTCCAATGCCAAGGGAGGGACGTTTCCTTTTGCCACAGCGCCAGTAGAAGAGAGGGGTCGCTGCGCGGAGCCGTTCCTGCCCCTCGAGGGCCGTTCTGGTCCCACCTCTCTTCCTGTCTTCCTGCGGAACACACATGCCCCCTGCATGGGGCTGCATCGTTCAGCCACCAGTTGATCTGGGGGGGGGGGTGTAACCAAGAACAAGCAGATGTTCCCTCAGCTTTCCTGCCACCTGGAGCCAGGGAGCATGGCCATCCTGATCATCACGGAGCAGTGCTGGAGGCCAGGGTTGTGCCAACAAGGGGAGACAGACGCAGGCTGCCCGGCTCTGGGGACAGGATGGGGAGCTGCTTGAAGCCTTGCACCCAGGCCGGGGGAGCGTGTGACGTGCCTGATACAAGCTTGCACACGGCCTGCCTGACGTCAGGGGGTGTGCGTGTGTTGTTTTAATTCTTAATAATTTGTGAAAAACCTGTTCTTTTGCCAGATACCTCAATAAGCAAAGAAAATAGCATAGTAACTCAAACTTAATCCTGTGAAAGGAAACAGAGTTGAAGTGCTGACATTCCTGGGACATGAGTCTCAACAAGTATCCATCCAATGCTAACGCCGCTGCTTCTTGCGAATTCTGAGTGAGTGGAGCCCTGCGTGGAGGCTCACATGCATGTGGCCCCAGCCTGCATCACAGACGCGCGTTCAGTTAGGGTCCCGGGACGGAAAGGTGTGCTCAGTTCTCCTTTCCGTTTTGCTTTCTTCGAATGAAGCTTTAATCTTTCTCATACTGGACCAAATTGATTCTGAGCCTTGTAGCTTCCGAATCAGGTGGATTTTCCTGTTTCTCTTTGTCTTTTTCACCAAATCTTTCCCTGCCTGTTTGAGTCATGAAGCATAGGACTTGTGCTTCTTGATGGTGCGACAGTGTGAGGTGGGAGGGGATGTGAAGAGGTGGGTGATGCGTGGGGTGTAGGTGCAGGGCTCTGGTTTTCACTCTGTTCCCAGGGGTAAAATCCTATCACAGAGCTGGCTCCTCGTGTAGAGGAGCTGAGCCTCCTTGCTAGCTGGGCCCCGGGTTAAAGCGTCTTCATCCACGCCCAGCCCAGCGACATGCTGGGGACGCCAGTGGGGCCTCACCTCGCAGTCCTTGGACGGAAGACAGGGCGCGGAGCGGTCCCGGGTCAGGTGGTGGGGAAGGTGCGTCAGCGCTGCGGTGGGCCACAGAGCTGGGTCTCGCATCTCCATGGCACAGGTGGGGGCCCAGGGAAGGGTCCAGAACAGTGGTGGTAGCCGAGCGAGCCGCGACCAAGAAGGAGCGCATCTGCAACCTCTGTGGGTGTTTCATTCCCTCCTTGAGTCATCAGGAAATTCGAGACAAATACACAGTCTCATTTCCGCATTTAATCACTGGATGGTCCCTCCACGTGTGTGCAGCCTTCAGCAGAAACCCTGGAAAGCATATAGGGGCCAGTTTTGTGCTAGGAACATCCTTGGATCAAGGTCATACTTTTAACTTTCCCTTTAGGATAGCTGGAGAAAAACCAAACATTAAGTTTAGGGGAAAACGTTGAACCCCGAATTTTAACATATTCAGCTATAGCCCATTTCCCAACCAAAACCGGGCAAGATTTATAGAAAAAACAAAGCAAAACACCAAAAAAGTCCCAAGGCTTTTTATTAAGTTCTAGGATCACAGGTGATTTTTTTTTTTTAAAGATTTTATTTATTTATTTGAGAGAGAGAGAATGAGAGACAGCATGAGAGGGAGGAGGGTCAGAGGGAGAAGCAGACTCCC